ACCAAAACTTAGAAAAATACTTTTTGGGACAAGAATTTTTAAAAACCCTTTTAGTAATTAAAAATATTAAAAAGTTATTTGGACTATGTCTTTTTCAAAATTACTTTTTCTTCAAAATAATTTGTGAATTTTTTTTTCCAAATGAATAGATGAAATACCTCAAATAAGAGAAATTTACGTCATTATTATAAAGAAGATGATAATTATAAATTTATTTGATTATTTACCTCAAATAAGTGGGACCGAGAAGATGGATTTCGGATTGCTACAAATCGGTCCCACTGGGCGTGCTACTTGACGAAGCATAGAATTGTACGGTACTTAGGACGGGCGGCGATGATGACCTAGGCAGCGGCGAATGGCCTAAAACCTGCAAGACAGAGCTTCGGGTGTCTCCCGAGGGTAGACGCTCCGATGCTTAAGTCAGTAAAAGGATAGAAAGAATAGGGAGAGAGGTAGAAGATACGTGTATCAGATAGTAATTATGAGGGAGGCACCACCTCTTTATATAGAGGTGGTGTTACCTGTTTCCTTAAACCTAGTCGAATTAGGTTTAGTCGGTGACTTAACTTCCAAGATAGCCGGCCCAAACCCATTAGGGTTAGGGTTTAATTTATGACTCGTCAAGTGCCCCTAGCAAGCCATATTCTCGAGATTTGGTGAGAAGGATATGGGTTGCTACAAGTGTTGAGTCTTCTCGAATTTCGTGTTGTTGCCCTAGTTCTCGAACTCTTTCGTTCTTGGGTGTCACCTATACAAGATAGAGAGAGTAGAATGCCTCGAGGAGGTCTTTGTGTTAGTAAGTTCCTTATTAGCAGGAGGAAGCCTGTTTATGCCGAATTAGGAGGATGACGCCTAGATTCTCTTATTTGAAGGAGAGAAGTCTTTACTCTCTTATTTGAAGGGGAGAAGCCTCTTTTGCCTGTCGTGCAGGTCTTTCATCAATATGCAACTCGATTTCGAGAAGGTATTTGTTGAGTAGATAAAAGTTGAGATACATCTTCTCGAACACTTCGGGTAGTAGTAGGTGCTCGAGGGATGCTTGCCCCTTCGAGGAGATGTATCTCTCGAAACTTCAATATTCGAAGTTGCCCCTTACTAATTGTTCTTCTCGATCAGCTGTGGACCAAACAAAATATTGTCCAAACAAATATGCACAATAGTGGGTTGGGATGACACAAGCATGTTAAAGCCCAAGTTATTTTTATATTTAAGTTTGAGTCATTGTTCAATTAAAATATTAGAATCACAATTAATCACCCTTCAAAAGCAATACTCTTTCGTCTCGAAAAATTACTTCACATTACAATTTGTGAATTTTAGTATTTTTGGTATAATTCACAAACTATATTTTGGCGGACAGATGGAGTAATAATAAAAATGATCCTAGTCACTATAAATTACATACACTCTAATCTATAATCATCCAGAGCACCACAAGGTGACAGCAAAAGTGGGCATGATTGAGTTACAAAATAAGATTCAAGGTCCTATGATGATGATCTACACAAAATTACAAAACGTGCCCTTAAAATCTACTATCATTAGCAAATGATTAGCTTATGATTCACAAAATTAGATGAATTATACACCTGTTTATGCAGCTTTTGTTCGATGATAGATCGACATTTTTGTTATTCCATACTCAGCCTTATAGTATCCATGATCAACAGAAGATTTTGGTTGAATAACTCTACCAAGGTGCAGTTGCCATTTCCTTAAATGAGAGCTCATGCCTTCCATTCTGCACCAGTAGAAAATTGATTTCTTCATCAATATTTTGAATAACACTCTTCAACTTTTCAAGCTTGGTTCCTAGACTCCTCGTCTCTTCTTCAAGTAGGGCTCTTTCTTTCTTTGACCGCATCATCTTTTGCTCTTTGGATTGAAATGAGAGCAGCTTCTTAAGAAATGGTATGGCCTCACAACCACAATACTTGGAGTTGGAGTAACAAAATAGCGCATGCATATCAGGATGAGTTAGAGAAGTAAAAACAAAGAAATTTGTCCAGTTTCAAGCTTGCAGCATAACTTCAAAATGAGAAATGGCAATTAACAATTTAACAAAACTATGCAGAGGAACAAGGTAAAACTAGAAAGCAGTGAGAAGAATCGAATTGCACATAAATATTTCCTAAAGACACCTAAACAGATCAAGCTCATGGCCTTCGATGATATAAAAAAAAAAAAAAACCCAAATATACTCCCTCTGCCCCAGTTACATACATGATGAATGAAACCAAAGCTAAGAGAAGCACAATACAAAATCAAAACAGAACACAACTCACTTGAACTTGGAGCTGAAGCTGCTTGAGGTAATCAATGGCCTCATCAAGCATCGAAGCCTTATCGATCCGATTCGGACATAAGAAAGAGCACTATTAAAAACAGTGATAGGTTTTCATTAATCAAAAATCAAAGAAAGTAGCCCTATGGAAACAAGCATATGAGAACACCTAATTAAAAAAACAGAACTGATTCGAGCGTACCTTGTTTGAGTTAGGTATCAAATTCGTAATGCCTTCATTTTCTCGTTGATCCCGCTTCTTCTCCTCTGTCCAATTTAAGAAAAATGTCAAATTCCAGGAACTAAAGCAATGTATCCATAAAAACAAAAGCATTTCAAGATAGCACAACCTTTTCAGATAAATTATGAACTTCAGCTAGCTTGAAAACATATCTTAAGAAATGCAAATAGTTTGGCTATTATACCATTAACAGCAGTTGATTTAGCTTGAAGATCTAAATTCAGAAGACCAATTGCCCCATCAATTTCTGCTAACCCATTCACTCATATGATATATACCTGTGATACATATATCAAATCAGTTGGGTCTTCATGTCAATCAGGAATTAAAGTGCAATTTGAACAGCTAATCAAAATAGTGCAGAATTACCTCCAGCAATGTACTCTACATTGGGGTTGGCCGACATCTCATCATAACTGTCCACGTTCATCATTGCCACCATGTAAACACAACTATCAAAATACAAGTAATGGAATCATTACTCATAAAAAGTAAGTGTTCAAACTCAGAGTTTCCTTACATGGGCAAGTGCTTCTCCTCTGCAAGAATGGCATTGTTCAACTTAATATCATATCTGCCACATCAAACGAGAGAAAATTACTTTTCGCGGCATAATCAACAAACTTTAAAAGCTAACAAGTCTGCGAAACCGCAACATTACACGGTAATTGTATTATACATACACAACCATAAAGCAGAGGCATGTAAACTTATTCCCAGAAGTAATATCTAGTACTGTTACTATATACCAGTCAAGCCATCACCCACCAAAGAAATATACCACCAAATACGGCAATGCACTCTCATTTCTGCAGATAGTAAAGAGCTTCATACGACAAGATTGGAAATCAAATTATGCATAGCAAATGAAAGATCCATGCAATCGAGCAGAAACCATCAACATTACAAAGACAATCATAAACAAATATAATACCAGCTCCTTAGATCTCTTAACCAAAACGTTAGTGGACAACAGATGTAATGGACACCAAATAAGCAGAACTCCAATCAAACAAATCCGCAAACACCAGTAACTAAAAGAACAAGATCAAAGCTCCACAGATCAAATCAGACAAGATCCTTCGGAACACTATAACAAACACTTCGCGGGGAAGTATAAAAACAAAAAAAATAAAAATAAAAAGAAGCCCGGAATGGATGGATTGAAACTTACTTCTCCAAGAATTCTTGGTCGACAACAGATGAGATATCCAAAAGGGGGTTCCCCATTCCCAACAATATGCCTTCGGAAACCATTTTGTCTGTAAAAAAATGCTGCAAATATATCGGGAAAAAAAAGGAAAATAACGACACTGTAAATGCTTTGGAAACGAGGAGTGTATGAAGAATGAGAGCGTCGGTGAAATCACAAACAAAATCTGATCTTTGCAAATATAATCATTTTGGCTAAAAACTTCAACTAGAGATCCAAAATGTTCGTAAGATGCTAAATTCAACTACGACAGACCTCCGGACACCAATTTAAAATCCAGAACAACAATTAGATTCATGGAAACAAAAAGAACCTTTAACGTAATAAGCAGGACAAAAAGAGCAAGAAAACTACAAAGAGGGGGACCAAAAAATCACACTATCAAAATGATACTATGACAAGAATCAAAAGAGTCAGAAAACCCAAAACAAAGAAAAACAGAAAATTGGAAAATCAATGGTAATTCTTACGAAAACGACGAGGAGGGCTCGAAGGAGGCTGCCACAGTGAGTCCAAAGGAGCATGTTGTAAGCAGTGTTCTTAGAAGCAGAACGAAGTAGAGAGAAAATTCTGAGCCACGGCAACTTTGGTTCTCTGAAACAGAGGAGAAGGTGAGTCGGAGGCCAAAACCGCAGCAATCAGCCCATGAAAAAAAAAACCGAAGGGACGGTGGGTGGGTGCTGCATCGCCGGTGCCGCACGGCTGAAGGAGAGGTGAGAAAGAAATATGACGGCGGATCTAGGGCATGGGCAAAAGTGAGAAGGGAACGCTTTTTCCTTTATATACATTACCCGAAATTTTCATAACCCGCCCTTGACCCGATTTGAGACCCGCGAATAGAGTTGAGAAAGTCTGTTTCAAAAATTTGAAAAATACTTCTTATCTATTTTTTGAAAAGTCTTTTCCAAACCTTTTTTTTTTAAAATGATGTTTAAAAGAGACCTTAATTATTATGTCTAAATACATTTTAAACTCTAAACAGACTTTTTAGCTTTAAAACTCTTTTTTAAACTCTTGTCTAAATGGAGCCTAATTTCTTTTTCCTTGGAGTCAATTTCTTTTTGGTTAACGCAATTGGCGTTCTTAGGTTTTTCTCAAGCTCCATGTTCTGTAACTTTCCCTTTTAAGTTTTCCTTATGGGAATGATGTGGCCTTTTGTTGTTCTTATTGTTTTTGGCTTGATAATGATTGATTGCTGAAGGCCTATTTGTTTCTACATTTGATCAAAATGCTGAATCCTTAATTCGTTAATTTGTCAGGTTAAAGTGTTTATTGAAGAGGATTACTTAGCCAACTGGATTCAGGTTTTTGTCATATTCTTTATCAGTTTTTTTTTTTTTGGCTACAGCAGTTATGCCCGATTTTATTTTGTAACACTGCGTTGCTGCTTGATGTTTTGGTGTAGTGCACAGGCATTGTTTAATTCTTTGCCACCTGATGATTATATCAATGGAGTTTTGGTTCTGGGAGGAGATGGTCGGTATTTTAATTGTGAAGCTGCGCAGGTTGGATAAGTTCCGGTTTCTGAGCCATCAGAGGGTTTTGCTGTTTTTGGTTTGCTAAGTTTGTTGTCATAATGTTATCCCTCTATCTCACAATTTATATTGTTTTCAATGCAGTGTAACAACATTGTTCCCTCTATCTCACAATTTATATTGTTATTTGTGAACTATACTAAAACAATTAAGAATAATTTATACATTATAATATGAATTATTTTTTGGAATGGAGAGCGGGTACTATTTATTGCAACATGTACATTTCTAATAATGATTTCTGTAAGATCAAGTTAAAGACGTGAGATGCTGGATGTTTTTGGTTGAATTAACGCTTTAAAAATAATATATGCGTGTTATTTAATTACGCTCTGATTAATTCAAAGCTGACTCCCATATGTAGAGTATAAGAAACTTGATCAAGTTTACATGAGTCAATCAATTGATCATATTGAAGTGAGTATAATGAATGATACAGCAATGACAACATGAAAAAGAAATTCCGAGATAAAATTGCAGACAAAATCACTTAGGCCACTAAGTAGTTTTTCTTACCCTTTCTTTGTAGAGCAGAGGAAGCAAAATCCTAAAAATTTTGTTAAGACACTCGTGAAGGAAAAACCGCGCAATAATATCGTGTTCAAACAACTATCTCACCTTAATAAATGAAATAATAGAGAATCATAATCATATCGTGTTCAAAAACGGGGTCTTTTTTTTTTTTTTTTTTTACATACGTATCCGGTATACAGCCGCTATCGTTATACCCGTGAGTGTCGATTGACCACTGACTAATCCGGACTCGAGATGGTTAGATCCCTTTCGGAAAGTAACCTCTACCAACCAACCTTTTAACACGGTTGCACATGTAGGGTCTCGAAACCGAGACCTCTGCTTAAGCTAGATCAACACCCTGCCAATTGATCCAAGCGTTGATTGGTAGAAACCGGATCCTTTGAATCAATAATAATCAGTCTCTTTGTCGCCGGCCGCTCTCCGCCGTACTCACCTGCATGCGAAAAGCACAACCTACACAAGTACACATATGTGGCTGTTCTACTTTCATTTGTATATTTGGTAGTTATGATTTCATTTTGGCCAGTCGGTCTTTTCCTTTGGGTATCTATTTGGTCTTCTACTGGTCGAATTTGTTATTAGACTTGGGCATTTCTACAGGGCCATTAGTTTCTTATTTTTGGTTTGAGCTATTTGCATTATCTTGGACCATTGTCCCCAGTTATTTGGCTGGCTCAGTGTTCCGACTCCGTCTATCTTTTCTTTTGCACGGTGTTGAATAAAAGAAGATGAAAGGTGCTAATTTTCATGTGGATGTTCGGAACTAAGACTACCGGACTAGATACAAATCGGTGTTTAATTCACCTATTGCCAGATAATGGTAGGCAAATTTTCGAACAAATTATGTAATCTTAATCTTAAGCTCTGCTGATAATCACTTAATAAAATTAAGTTTGTGTGTTGATCATCCAAAATTTTTAATGAATTAAGTATTAAACTAATTAGGTACTATAAATTAAGTGTGTTTCACAACTAAAATCACACTTTCTAAATTAATTAAGTGGTCTGAAGGTCTAGTTCAATTGTTACCTAAAACAATGATAGTCTTAATTACCACTTATCACTCAACATTTAATTTATATAATGAGTATTTTTTTGCTTCTTTTTTTCCCTCTCACCTTTGTTTTTAGATTAGTTTTTGTTTTTATGACTTTTAGTACTTTTATTTTCTTAAGTTAAATTAGATAAGAGCACTCGATTTATACTTAGTTATGAGTACAAAACAACATGAAACCTGCAATCTCAATCAGGACTAATTTTTATAAATAACTACTATTAAATAACAATATATTCTTATACATCAATATGTTCATATAATCTAATTTGATTGTATTCATTATGTATCATGTGTAATATCTACTTTCGTTTTGCATAATTAAATGTCATTTCAAAATTATTTTTCATATTTATGAAAGATATTAATTATGTTTTTATTAAAATATTTTCTTGGCTAACAGTGCTCGATTAAATTCTGTCCATTTGCACGATTGTTCAACATTGCCTATTTTCATGTTGTCCTATCACCACCTAGCCTCCAGTTCTATCGCCATTGGTACTATGTTTGGCCTATGCATTGTTTTTCCCCTGCCTGCTTAGTAGCCCCTGTTCCACTTTGATTTTTTTTGTTTTTTTGTTTTAATCCATCCAAGTGGATCTCATTTAAATGTGGAGAAAACTCTTCCGTTACATATTCTTGATGGGATTTTGACCCAAGTCTAATAGACGAAACATAACATCTTAATCACTATACTTTTATTCAATTCCTCCATTTTGATTTTGTACTATGCTACTCCGACTTTGTTAAACAACCTCAAACAATACCAACTTGGATTTGAGAGGAGGTGTCATCGTAAGTTATGCGATAGGATAAGATTTATTAGGTATTTAGTTTGCTCTGTTGAAATTTAATATGAAGAATGTCTAATTAATTAGTAGAAGAATTAAAGATACAGAACCGTTCAATTATTCTCATGCTCATTTGCTATTAATAAAGGGGTGAGTGAAAACCCATGAGCATTCATGATTTTAAATATACACTGATTTTATAAAGATAACTAGTATATTTTTTCCCCTTTTAAGTAGGAATAAATAACTATGAAATGACACTTGAAAAAAAAACCGCTCGGATAAGAGAGTAAGAGAGCCAATATTGAAGATACACAGTCCGTCCGATGTTTGCCTAATGGCGGAATCTTGGAAGAGTTAACATGAAGTAGTGTATTCTTTTCTTGTAAGAGTTGACAAGCAAAATTCCCAAGCTAAACAGTTTAACTTTTGTCTTTTGTGCAAGCAAGGTTATATATTTGGGAATTGATAAATTGAGAGCAGTTTTATTAGTTTGAGAGCAATATTTTGTTAACTACCTATGTTATCCTTACTTAGGAGTTCTAGAAATAATAATCATATTTATTTTTTGTTAATCAATTTCTCCTTTCTTTTCGGCCATTCCTCCTCACATCCGCTGTACTTCTCTCACTTTTTTTTTTTTTTTTGCATAATCATATTCAAACAAAATAGATTTTTCATTGATTATTGTTTGGCCTTCAAACAAAAGAGACTATTATTTTTTCAAAACTCTATCTTTTACGGAGTTGAATTTACATTCTTTGATTCAGTCTCAGTAGCAAGGTTTATCAATTTATACGGTGATCATCTGTATGTTATGAATTGTGAGGCGAATTTCCTAATAGTTTTTCTCACTTAATAGCTAGGTTTAATAGTATTTTTGGTTTTTAAGTTCATACAATTATTTTGTTTAAAAAACAGATCATCTAAATTCGAATCAACTGCAAAATATGCAATTGATGATAACTGAACTTTGGGGCTGCATATAATTCTTATTAATATTGATAAAATCTTGCTGATTCGGAATTTTTTTTGGCTTAAGGAAAAAATAATTTTTTTTTTGGGCTCAAAGAACAATGATAGATTCTAGTAGTTTCTATATCGCATGCCCAAAAAGTATAAAACATAGGGAAAAATTAAGTCAAAGTGTCTACATAAGGAAATAATAAAGAAGGGAAAAAGTTAATGAAAAATAAATATGGTAACTTTTTTAAAATCTTAAGGGTAATAAAGGTAGTTGATAAAATTTTGCTCTCAATATAAAAAACAGCTCTCAATTTATCATCGCCTTATATATTTTCCTACTAACTTCCGAATCAATGAAGGCACAATTAATGTTATCACATTTATTATAACTAAAATAAGTGTATACGGCATAGCCATATGGCATTATCAAAATGAATATTCGTAAATCGGAGTTCATCAAAATGGATATACCTTTTCCCAACCGTTTAGTTTCCATACCCAAATTCTCTATATAAAAATCAATGGGACACCTAACTTGCGTGTGATGAAAACAAGATTGGTGGCCTAAGTCTTTTTGGGACCTATCTTTTAAATGATTTTATCCATAAGACTTGACTTGGTACAAGATTTCTACTTCGGACAATCATTCATTCGTCAATCCCAAAGGCTTTCATTGTTATTATTTCTTCTAAACTGTGATGCCAAAACTTCCTTAAATGGTTCTCCTCATCACATAAACAGCACTGATTTTGATAAAAATGGGCAATTCTCTTTCTTTAACCTCATTTGCCCTCTACAAGAAGCAAAGCAAATCTTTGCCCATTGATACAATCTTCAAATTCCCTTCTCCAATTTCCACATGGTCATCATCATCAGGTAGTAATCAATATGCAATATTCTTGTCTGTAATCTTTAGTCATCTTTTGTTGCTAAAATATTGATTGTGGTCATACTATCGAAATGATTTTTTTTACATACATTTGTTCTAATCACAGAAGAAGGTGGCTTTGGAAGTGGTTATATTGATCTAGGAGGCCTCCACGTGCACCAGATCACAACTTTCAACAAAATTTGGAGCATAAGAAAGGGAGGGGTTGATAATCTTGGAGCAACGTTCTTTGAGCCTGCAGAAATTCCAGATGGATTCTTTATGCTTGGTTGCTATGCTCAACCTAATAATCAGCCACTATTCGGATGGACTCTTGTTGCAAAAGGCATCTCCAATGGTGAATCCAGCAATGAAATCCTAAAGAAACCAACTGATTACACTCTAATTTGGAGTAGCAAGTACTTGAAATCTAGCCAAGATGGTCATGGCTACATTTGGTTACCAATAGCCCCTGATGGATATAAATCGGTTGGCTATGTTGCAACAAACACGCCCGAAAAGCCTTCTCTGGATAAAGTCAGATGTGTTCTTGAAGAATTCACTGATGAATTGGAGCCCGCGGATTGGATTTGGGGACTGTCTAAGAGACGGGGCAACTGTAAGTTTGATGTGTACAGCTCTAGGCCTCGCGTTAGAGGGATTCAAGCGCAAGGCGTTAGAGCGAATACATTTGTTGTAAAACTTGGAGATGACAATGATGCAACTCCATCCATAGCTTGCTTGAAGAACAACAATTTCAGAAACTTTTCCGCCATGCCAAACGTGAAACAAATCGAAGAACTGCTTCAGGCATATTCTCCAGTGATATACTTCCACCCTGCGGAGAAGTACTTTCCTTCTTCAGTGAACTGGTATTTTTCCAACGGGACATTATTGTACTCCAAGGAAGCCGAATCAAATCCTGTCTCCATGGAACACAGCGGCGCGAATCTTCCTCAAGGCGGATCGAATGATGGAGCACATTGGCTAGACCTTCCCATCGACGAAAATTCTAAAGAAAGAGTCAAGACAGGGGATTTACAGAGTGCTGAGGCTTATCTCCAAATCAAGCCTATGCTAGGTGCAACATTCACTGATATATCCTTGTGGATCTTTTACCCGTTCAACGGTCCTGGAACTGCAAAACTCGGATTAATCGACATCCCACTTGGGAAAATCGGCGAACACATTGCAGATTGGGAGCATTTGACACTACGGATCAGCAACTTCAATGGGATCTTGTACAAAGTCTATTTCTCACAGCACAGTGGAGGAAAATGGATTGATGCATCATTGCTGGAATTTTACAACGGGACTAACAAACCAGTTGCATACTCAGCATTAAATGGGCATCCAAATTATCATAAACCAGGGCTGGTTTTACAAGGATCTGGCCAAGTTGGGATCAGAAATGATACAGCAAAAAGTGACAAGTTTTTTGACACTGGATCAAAATACTCAATTGTTTCAGCTGAGTATCTTGAATCAGAAATTGTTGAGCCACCATGGTTGAATTATCTAAGACATTGGGGTCCTAAGATTGCTTATAATTCTGATGCTGAAGCCAAGAAAGTGGAGGCAATGTTGTCTACAAGGCTGAAACCTTTGTTTCGGAGATTGGTGAAAATCTTACCTAATGAATTTTATGGTGAAGATGGTCCAACTGGCCCTAAGGTGAAAGGTTGTTGGAATGGGGATGAAAAATCTTGTTCTTAATAATTCTTTCTTATTGATTTGGATCTTATCCAAAACACCAAATGCCCATTTCTTTGTTTACTTGGGTGTTTAAGTTTCAAGTCTTGTTAATGCAACAAGAAAACATTCTGTAATCACGACACACGTTCGATTGAGTTTGTTCGGATGAGTACGAACATTGCTGCTTCACCTAAGTACCATTAATGCAAAATAAAAACTTAAGACCTTATTCTCAACAGAAAATAGTTTCCTAGGGACTTTTTCAAAACCTATTAAAGTTGGATACTTTGCTCAACTTATTGAAAGTAAATTAAGATTTTGAAAGAAAAAACTGATTTCTCGTGTAGCAAGAAGTAAAATTATTACTCACAAAAAATTCCTAATCCTTTGGACACCGCGTGCGTAAGATATCAAAAAAATTCTTAATCCCAACCAAATTGGGAGTTAACATAATATATTACTGTTTGACAATTTGAACCTCTTTTGTTTTTTCCTTAAAATTGTGTGTGTGTGAGTTAACATAATATATTACTGTGTGTATCTGTGTGCAAGTGGAAGAAAATGCATTCAAGCCATTTACTCATAGGTATCGGTTCCCTCCAAATCATCAATTCTGATTGTCCATTAATTTTCTGTTTACTCACTTTTTTTTTTTTTTAAAAGGAAACAAACTTTCATTGAGATCACTTAAATTGGTCCAGCACCAATTGAGATACAAAGATTGGTGGACTAGTCCATAAAGTTTCAATGACATCAAAATGCTTAGCAAATTTGGCAAAAGAATACGCAATGACGAGTCCATATCCACCCCCGGTATTGGACCAGCCCAAGAACCGTGTAAGGGGCCCGACCGACTTCAACAGGGCGGCAATGTGTCTAAATCCTAGTAGGATTCGGTTTCCTGATTGTATCTACTTGCCTATAAATAGGGATACAAGTTCCACAACTAAGGTACGCTATCTTAGTTATCAATCAATACACGCATACAATTCCGATTTACTGACTTAAACATCAGAGTGTCTACCCTCAGGAGACGCCCGAGTTTCTTTTTTACAGGAAACTTTAGTCATAGTTCCGCAGCCGAGCCGGAGATACAAATCCGGGCATCGTCAAGTGGCACGCCAAGTGGGACCCGATAACTAGGGTTTGTGTCATCAAACTTTCTCAAGCTTTTCAAAACCTTTCAATCTATTCCCATCACTTCAGGACCACGGTTTTTGGAAAACAAGATGGTAGTAGTCGACAGTCCTCAATCCAATGCCGCATCAATAGGAAGACGGACAAGCCCAGAAGACAGCGAAACCCTAGCACACTTCCAATGGAGGCAGAAGCGGAAAAGAAACGACTGACGGACGAGAAAAGAGAATTCCCCCGTAAAGCCAACTGACCCAAAAGGTTACCGCAAGGCCCTCGACCCATATAAAAAACAACAACTGGTCGAGTTTGAAGCGGAACTGGAAAAGCTGAAGGACGACAATTCCTTCAATCAAAGGAAAAAGAGATATATCCTCGAAGAATACAAGCGTTGTTGTCTGTTAGGTCTGCCCGACCCTACAAATCAAGATCTGGAGGATTTGATCGAGGAGAAAGAGGCAAGAAGGACTTTAGATCTTCTCGAGATAAGAAGAGGTAAACGCCCAGTCCCGGATGAAGGAGAAGAAAGGGTTCGTAAAGAAATCCCTTAACGTGAAGATTCCCGTCCCGAACTTTCTGATACCCCTGGTGATACTTTTTGGGAAGCGCTCGAGAAGCCAAACCCAGTAGTTTATGAGGGGATCCAACAATTTGCACAAGAACACCAGCAAAAGAAACAATCCCGCAGACAGGGTCGACCAAGATCACCCAGTGTCGAGGAACTGTCTAAAAGGGATTGGGAACCTCCAAGAGGTAATGTCCACTCTCGACTCGGACTCAAAATTCCTCCTGAAAAATCCCGTCAGGATTATCGTCAATGTGGAGATCCTCCGCCTCGACACCAAGAGATTCGAGGCAATCGGGATCCTTCCATTCGAGACTCAATGCGAAGGATGATAGGGATGATCGTGGATAAAAGCCCTTTCATCCCCAGGATTCGAGACTGTCCAAAACCTCAAGACTTCGACTTCCCCAAGGATTTCGCCTGTTATACAGGAGATTCGGATCCACAGGCGGTTTTTAAACAAATATGTCCAAGTCATGAGAATCCGCAATGCATTCTTGGACTTCATGGCAAAAGCTTTGCCATCATTCCTCGACGGACAGGCACAACGTTGGTTCAGACAACTGCCAGAAGGAAGCATCGACAGCTTTGAGGAACTCAGCTAGCTACCCGGTTCTTCCTTAGCAAGCAAGTTACAAAGATGTCGATTGACCTATCATCGATCAGGCAAGGACATAATGAGAGCCTCTCATACTTCCATCGCCGCTTTACCCGTGAATCTCTCCAGGTTGATAACCTTGATGATAGAGACGTACGAAATGGTTTCATCCAAGGTCTTAATCCTTGGGGAAAGTCCCCCCACCTGCGAGTAAAGTTAACCACTAAACTTCCTCGAAATACACAGGAGATGTGGGCCACAGTAGAAAGCTATATCCAACGGGAACAAACACTGAAAAATTTCCAAGAGTCTTTTTCACTTGCAGGGGAGCGAGGAGGAAAAGACAGGTACAAACCTTTAGCAGAGGGTAAGCCGTCCCTGCCTAAGCTCGACAGACTGCTTACCCCATTGTTAAAACCCCGCCGAGAAATACTCCAAATCCACAGAGACGAGTTCCTGATCCCGAAGCCATTAACTCATAATCCAAATAGGTCCACAGATCGGTATTGCGAATACCATAAGGACCATGGGCATGATACAGAAGATTGTCGGGAACTCCAGCGGAAAATTGAAGTAGGAGTAAAATCTGGGAAATTCCAACAGTATGTGCAGAATACACAAGGCAGCGCTCGAGGAAACACTCACGGTCCTCAAGAAAAATCCGCTTCATGCAACTTCCCTAAGCGAAACAACAATCGAGGTTCTCGTTCGCATGTGTCAAGACTACACAGATCTAAATAAATATTGCCCCAAGGACTGCTACCCTTTTCGTGTAATCGATCAAATGGTGGAAAGTATTACCGGTTACAAAACCCTTAGCTTTCTCGACGCATATAAAGGATACCATTAGATTCATATGGTTCGGGAAGACGCAGAGAAAACGGCTTACATCACGGAGATTGGAGTGTACTGTTACGACAAAATACCGTTTGGGTTGAAAAACGCTGGAGCCACCTACCAGCATTTGGTTAATAGAGCTTTCCACAATCAGATCAGAAGGAACATTGAGATCTACGTGGATGACATGGTCATCAAGAGCAACTTTGACAGTAGGGTGGTCGAGGACATGAAAGAGATCTTCACAATTCTTCAAGGAATTAACATGAAACTCAACCCGAAGAAGTGTGCCTTCTCTATGAGCTCTGGGAAATTCCTCGGATTCCAAGTATCAAAAGACGGAATAAGCGTAGATCCTTCAAAGGTCAAAGCAATCCTTTCAATGGAAGCCCCGAAGACCGTCAAGGAAGTACAGAAACTTACAGGATCTCTGGCAGCGCTTAATAGGTTTCTGTCTCGAGCAGCTGAAATAAGCCTTCCCTTCTTCAAGACCCTAAGAAAGGAGAGAGGTTTCCAATGGACTAAAGAATGTCAAAAAACCTTCCAAGAGTTAAAGAAACATCTTAAGCAACTCCCCATGCTGGCAAAACCACAGCCAGGAGAAGTTCTATATATCTATTTAGCCGCTCGAGAAACGGCTATATCTGTGGTCCTCATTCAGAAAAAAGACGGTAAAGAGCTCCCGGTTTACTTCGTAAGCAAAGTCCTGCAAGCGGCCGAATCCCGGTGCCCCCGTGGAAAAGCTGATATTCACCCTATACAGGTCTTAACCGAACAACCTATCCAGCAAGTCCTCCTTAAGTCGGAGGCTTCAGGCAGAATGATGAAATGGGCAGTCGAGCTGGGGGAACACCATATTGAGTACAAGCCCTGCACAGCTATCAAGGGACAGGCATTTGCAGATTTCTTGGTTGAAATGCCCAGAACTCCAGATACTACACAAGAGTCAACACCGAGGAAACAGCTGCAGAAACATCCCCCCATAGATCCTTGAGCCTGGACTCTCTACGTTGATGGCTCTTCTTGTGAAGACGGGGGAGAAGCGGGTATCATCCTAGTGTCACAGACAGTTTTTCTTCACCACGAATTCGGGTGGTTTGATGCGAAACGGGCTATTTTCGTAGGCGGACATGGGACGGAACGGTCTAGAGCCTTGTGGAATTCTCCGGTCAAATCTTAAAGACTCTGGAATTTTCTAGAGAGGCTCGGAACTCTCTAGAAACGGGTAGAACCATGTGGAAGATTCTAGAGACTTGTAGATGTTTTGAACTTAGAATATTTTATTGTTGGAATTCTCTAGAATTCCATTATTTTATTATGTACATAGAATTCTCTAGAATTCTTAGGACTTGGGGTTTGCCTATAAATACCCCATGCCCCCTTCATTTGTAAGCATCCAAGCTTTGAGTAGAGTTCTCAAGCATTCCTTAAGCTCTCTTGTGCCTTCATCGTTCTTTCACTTTCAACCTTTCTTAAGTTTTTCTTTGCCTCCATTCTTTAAAGTCTTGCCTAGCTTTGCACGCTTTGGGGGTCTTAAGGCTGAGCTAGCACTTGATCGTTAACTGTTTTGTGCTAGTGCCGCACGGCCGTTACTTTGAAAAAGTAAGCCCGTAACAGTTGGTATCAGAGCCTCGGCTCGATACTTGGTGTGCTACATCGTCTACGCTTCCGTTTGTTGGTTTTCTTTCGTGCATAAGCTATGTGCAACCCTTCGGAGGTTGTTCAAGGGTCGGAGCTTGAGGGGGATCACGTTTCCCGTGAGGTGGGGGGGACCACCCGCAAAGGAAGCCGCAAGGAGAAGTCGGTCGTTAGGGAGCCGATGGTGGAATTCGAGAAACGGCTTGCCAAGCTAGAGCTTGCTGTGGCCGACCACCAAGACCGTTGGGACGAGCACCCTGATGTGGTAGCGGGGGTCGTCGAAGCTTGCATGGAGCGATTCGCAGGGGAATTGCAAGAGGTCATGCAGCAAATGAAGGACGACATGCTAGGGACGCTCAACGAAATGGTGGAACGTTGCAACAAGTCGAAGGAGGAAAGCCTTGCTCGTGTTGCCACCCTCCAAGACGACGTCAACCGGCTTATGGGGGAGCTGGAGACTTCTCGGGCAGAATCGGTGCGTC